CGTGCGTTCCACCCGCCAGCACCAGTCCGCGTCCGCATAGGAGTGCTGCCCCGCGTGTACGCACACACCCAGCGTCCGCGATCTGCTGCCAGTACCCGCGTCCGCAACACGCACGACCCTGCCCAGCGCCCGACGCGCACGACGCCTTCGAGATGCCCGCTGCCACCCGACGACCGAGACCCGTGCACTGTCCGTTTGTGACCCGTTTGACGAATTGATTAGAATCAACTAAAGGCCAAACCTATCCGCCCATTAGGTTGTGGTGTTCAGACGAACTTCACCAACGGTACTCTACATCATCTCAGAGTCGACAAAAATTTTAAAAAGGTAAACGTCCATATCCTAACTATAGATTCCGCTGCGTTAGGATTTATTTCGATAAAGTTCAATACTCTGCATGTTGTTTGACGTTCCTAACAGAACCCAACACCTGCAACTCTTCAAGACCTCCTCATACGATCGAGCAGGGGTCTTTGCCAGGGAAGTTCGGCAAGGCCCTGCTCGAAGACTTCTTATCAATCCTCTCGCCTTCACCTCATCTGAAGTCGAATGCACCTCCAAACTGGTTATATCGAGCGACATACTTCCTCAATGACTCCTTCTCCCCATGCCTCATTGCCATCAACTTCAAATACGTTTTCTCATGCGCCACCGCGCTCGAATATTGATTGGTAAGCTTGCTGGCAAAATCCTCAAAATCCGCAATCGACCTAGAGGGTAACTGGTGAAACCAGTCAAGGGCTTCTCCGCGCAAGGTCGATAGAAACGCCCTGCAACAAACAGAATCAGAATATCCATGTAACACAACCATATTTTCAAAGGTCCTCACATGCCTCGACGGGTCAGAAGACCCGTCATACACCAAGTTGGTCTCCTTGAAATTATTTGGCATAGGAGCAGCAGCGAGAATCTCCCTCGAAAAGGGATGTCCTCGAGCTCTCCTCTCTAGCCTCCCTTCCACCTTGTCTTGTAACTTGCGCAACTGCTCTGCCATCCTCTCCATCGCCTGATCTCTTCCAACTCCTCCCTCTCCATAACTGGACACATCCTCATCTTGGTTTCCAGCCACCGTTGTCGGCGCAATGGTGGCATGAGATCTGTGGCTCTTAACTTGTTGCACTGTCTGTGCCGCCGTGGCTGCCACGGCCGCCGCTATCCTCTGCATCTCCTCCCGGGTCATCGTCACCATTTGCTGACCAGGGGCTTGTACAACTGCTTGTGGTGGCGCTCCTCCTTGCGCCATCGCTCCTCCTTGCACCAGTGTTGGATTTGGTGGCGGTGGCGGTGGCAATGCCGCCGCGACTGCTGCGCGAGCCTCCTGGGCCCGACTAGAGCCGGCATCTCCTCCGGGAATCACCGTCGTCACTCCTACACCTTGAAGGATAGGTGTGGGAGTGATCGGTGTCTGCGATGGGCCGGAAAAACCCGGAGGAGGGCCTTGCCCCAACGGCCTGGTTGTCGTCCAAGCTTCGTCGAACGTTGACTGCAAGTTTTTGGGAATTCCGTCCGCCATAGATGAGCTTCAAACACAACTTTTCAACGAAAACGTTTCCTACAGACGGCGCCAATAATGCAAGTGTGAGCGTCCTGGTCCGGTTTGGAGTGGATCGATCTTTGTCCACCCCGGTAGAACGCCGGAAACCTGCAAATAACTCTCACACCAGGGGTTGTGTCCGGTGAAGAGCCTCCGATGCTTAAGTCAGTATGTGTATGAGTATACTTAAGTGAAGAATGAATAGAATGTGTGTTAAGGGAGTAAGGCTCACCCCCATTATATAGGGTGAGATACCTGCCCTAATAGCTGCCCGGATAAGGATGAGTTGGCTGCCCAAGATGCCCGTCCGTACTCTGACACGCCGCGCACATGTCAGAGGTGGCGCAGGACGTTGGGAGCTATGAGAGGTGGTCATTGCTATCACCCAATACATTCTCGACACGTGTTCTCCTACACATGGGGAAAATATTCTCCTGGAATTCAGTTGTAAGCTCTTACACGCGCCTATGACTAGGCCGATCTGTTGAGTGTTGAGTCCGCGAGATGCTCGACCTGCTGAGGTCGATAAGATTGCTCGATCGTTTGTTTGGTCGAGCGATGGATTGGTCGACTGTTTGACTGGTCGACAAGTTATTTTGCTCGATCTTCTCCTCGCCTGGCTCGGTTCCTTCATGGTATGACCCTCTAAACCGGTTCAGCGGACCGGTTTATCTTGGAGTAGATAATATCCTATATCACCTTACATAAGGCGTTCAGGATATAGTTCGGCAGTAGTCTATTGTTATAGGTGTTCACATAAGACTCATTATTGATTATTGATAGGAGATGGGACGGTTATTGATTCGGATACATGTTGCGACCATACTTGAATTATTTTCATGATTATTGATATTAATTGTTGCATAGCGGTGAGCACCTCGACTTTTCTATTGTGCTCATCCTCACCTGCTCTTCATGGATGCAGTTTAGTTTATGCGGCACGGCGGAAGGGATGCGAGTGGTGGTCTTTAAATTGTTTAATGCTTCCGTCTTGAAAAACTGAACTTGGATATTATTGCATTATTATTAATTATTGTTTTTCTAGTATTGGATTATTGATAGGGATTATTTTCCTAGGATTATTATTGGATTATGATTGATTATTGAGATTTCCATATTAATTATGAGTATTGATAATTGCCGAGTTTTGAGATAATGTTGAGCATTGATTATTGTTATGAAAATAAGTAGCGCCTCAAATATTGTTTTTGAAATAAATTTGAAAAATTTATTTTGATTTTCGGTAAATAAAAGTGGGGCGTTACATGTACACTACGGCAATCAGAGGGAGGCACGAGAATGGGTTCTGGCGATTCTGTCGCTTGAAATCCGCTCGGTCATGATGGTGGACGAAAAGGAGAAACGGACGACGGAGCCGAACCCTGAGCCAGAACAATTAACCAAATCAGAGATATCGGCCTTGGCCGAGCAACCTGGAGACGTGCTGACCAACCCAAAGAAGAAGTCCATTGAAGAGGCCATGGTCGAAGCCCCGCAATCTTTGACCGATAGGATTAGAAGCAACACGGAATGTCTGAATGGAAGGAAGAGACGTCGGAACGAATTGTCCGAAAGTCCGGAAGAAGAGTGCGAGCATTCTCCGCTATCACCGCCAATCGCGACCGAACCACCACCATCAAGTGATGAACGAACAAGCGAAGCAGAGAAAGAAGAAGACGGTCAGAAGGAGGAAGACCAAACAGCCGACCGAGGCCGGCGATTGGGAAAGAATCGATCGAGGAAAAGGATGAATTGGACCCTCGAGATTCGTTCAAAAGGAAGAAGGCCGACTGAACCGAGCCTAGCAAAGATACGGTAGTCATATACCTAGACGAGCCCCTCTGCACAAAATCATTACGCATTGGGAGAAATTTGGGCGAGCCCGTTCGTTCAAAACTGATTAACTTTCTGACTGAGAACGCAGATGTCTTTGCCTGGACGCATAAAGATATGACTGGGGTCGATCCAAGTCGAGCGCGCCACAGTCTTCACATCGCTCGAACCATCAGGCCCGTGGTGCAGAAAAGAAAAAAGTTGGGGCTGGACCGATAGGGAGCGCTCGAAAGAGAAGTAATCAAATTAATAGACAATCGTTTTGTTCGAGAGGCAAAATACCAGGTCTGGGTAAACAACCCGGTCATGGTGAAGAAAAACTGCAGATCATGGCGACTGTGTATTGACTTCAGCGATCTCAACCGGGCCTGTCCCAAAGATAGCTATTCGTTGTCGAGCATCGATTACATGGTTGACGCGACGTTCGGACACGAACTCATGAGTTCTATGGATGCTTACTCGGGATACCATCAAATCCCAATGGATCCGGACGACGAGGAGCACACATTTTTTACTCGGCCAGAGGATTTTATGCTACACTATGATGTCTTTCAGTTTGAAGAATGAGGGCGCCACGTATCAACGACTCATGAACAAGATGTTTGCTGATCTGATCGGTCTAACCATGGAGGTTTACGTTGATGATATGCTTGTAAAATCTGTGTGCAAAAGACCATGTGTATCATCTTAATGAAATGTTGGCTATTTTGCGTGATTACTCACTATTCTAAAAATCGGCCTAGGCGGCGCCTAGACGCTAGGCGGTGCTCGGGCGCCTCTGATTTACACAAATCGGCAGAAAAAATCGGTCATGTGGCTAGGCGGTACCTAGGCGGGCATAGGCGGCCCTAGGCGCTCCTAGGCGGCCCTAGGCGCTCCTAGGCGGTATTGGCGGTCTCGGCGGCCAGGCGGTTAGGCGGCGCCTAGGCGGACCTAGGCGCCCCTAGGCGGGCTGGGCGGCAATTTTTCAGTTTTTTTTTTTATTTTTTTAAAATTTTTAAATACTAATTACATTATTTGTCCTCATGTTTTCTTTAAAATATATTAATTTTATTATTTGGACTTAGATGTGTCGATTTATTATAACTTGAGATAATTTTATTTTTTTTGTAGTTAAAATAAATAAAAAATAAGGTATTTAATATTTACTTTTAGGCCCCGACTAGGCGCCGCCTAGGCCCCGCCTAGGCACTCTAGGCGCTAGGCGTTGGTCGAGCGCCTAGCGGGCGCCTAGCGACTTTTAGAACACTGTGATTACTCCATGGTCTTAAATCCCAAAAAAAGTACGTTCGGGGTCGGGACGGGTAAGAAGCTTGGTTATATCGTGAGTCAGAGGGGAATTGAGGCAAATGACAAAATTAAGGCAATATTAGAACTAAAACCACCTCGATCGGTAGAAGAAACACAAAGTCTGACGGGTAGGTTAGCTGCGTTAAACCGTTTTATATTAAAATCTACGGACAAGTGTAAGCCCTTCTTTGAGGCAATCAAGAAGAACAAGAAGTTTGAGTGGACGAACGAGTGCCAGAACGCTTTGGATCACATCAAGGAATCACTCGTTCGCCCACCCGTTCTACAAATGCCGATTCTGGGAGAAATGATGTGCTTATACCTGGGAATAACCGAGGCAGCAATCAGTGTCGTACTCGTACGAGAGGAGGGCCCGAACCAACATCCAATTTACTACGTCAGCAAGGCGTTGCACGTCGCCGAGGTCCGATACTCCCCAATTGAGAATTTAATTTTCGCCTTGATGACCGCATCAAGGAAGCTCAGACCGTACTTTCTCGAGCACCAAATAATCGTCCTATCCGCCTACCTCATCCGATAAATCCTCCACAGGCCGGACACATCAGGGCGGATGCTCAAGTGGGCTGTCGAGCTCGGACAGTTTGATATACATACAAACCACGAACGGTGATCAAGGGTCAAGCGCTATCCGATTTTGTGGCAGAGTTACCACGGGGGCCGAACTAGTCCTAATCACGGAGACGTGGGAAATTTTCATAGACGGATCAGCCACAACTGAAGGATCCGGGGGAGGAGTCGTGATCATCAGCCCTCAGAAGAAGCTATACTTCCATTCGGTCCGGTACCTGTTTGCCGCTACTAATAATGAGTCTGAGTACGAGGCGCTATTATCCGGTTTGGACTTAGCCCATTCGATGAACGTCACTAATCTAAAAGTTTAACCGAACTCAATGTTATTAGTAAAGCAAATTTCGGGAGAGTTCGAGGCAAAGGAGTCCCGGCTAATTCCATACCTAAACATGGCCCGCAAAAAGATACAAAGGGCCAATATTAAGCTGGAGCATGTCCCTCGGACCGAGAATTCCCTGGCAGATGCGCTAACACGATTGGCATCAAGCCGTGGGATCGATGATATCGAATACGTTTATACACGACATCAAGAAAGGCCAACCGTGCAAACTGAACAAATCATGACGATCGGAAGCACGAGTAATGATAGGTCGCCCGGTTGGAGGGATCCCATCCGGTTATATTTAGAGACGGGGGAGGTCCCGATCGATCCCAAGTAAGGATGATCATTAAGAACTCGGGCAGCAAGATATACTATCGTAGGTGGAAGATTGTATTAGAGGGGCTATTCAAATCCCTTCTCAAGTGTGTAGACACTGAAGAAGCCAAACGAGTCATGAAGGAAGTGCACGAAGGAGTGTGTGGCAATCACTCGGGTGGACGAGCGTTAGCACACAAAATACTCCGGCAGGGATATTATTGGCCCACCTTGAAAAAAGACTCATCCAACTTGGTCAGGAGGTGTGCTAAGTGCCAAATGTTCACCCCAAAGTTGAAACAACTAGCCCATCTGCTCACCTCAGTATTCAGTCCTTGGCCATTTGCAAAATGGGGGATAGATCTGATCGGACCCCTACCAACCGGAAAAGGGGGAGTCAAGTACGCGGTCGTGGCTGTCGATTAATTTACTAAGTGGACCGAAGTCGAACCCCTAGCTGCAATTACCGAACAAAAGATGGTAGATTTTCTATGGAAGCCGATCATTTGCCACTTCGGCATACCGAATTCGGTGGTGACCGATAACGGGCGACAGTTCGAAGGAAAGCGGTTCGAGGCGTTC